ATTTAGGTATATTCCCCCACTTACGTCACGCCGCGCGTCACGCCGTGTCAAGCCGCACGTCACGTCGCATCACGCCGCGCGTCACGCCCCGACAAGCCGCGCGCCACGGCGCGGCGGTGCAACGCTCATTGTGTATGGCTCGCGGCGCTTGGCAAGTTTCTTACTTGCGTTAATTTCAGTTTCACATTTAGTAATGACTACGTAATTCTCTATATTTCATGTATATTTTTATTTTCTGGACTGTAGATTTTTTGTTCACGTCATTACACAAAAACTCTCACCCCCTAATTTTATATTCCTTAGGGTAAAATTTTTACAACCTTTGAATGCTATATTTATTTATATCTAATCAAAATCCTAAATAATAATTTTCAAGCTTCTAGCTTTAAAAATGACATAAATTTCATACAAACTTTCATCGCCTATTTCAACCTCTTACAGTCCTTTTTTCGCATTAAAAAGGCACCTGTGAGTGTTAAAGTTTCTCAGGCTCTAGACTACTTCTGAACTATATTTCATTTAAATCGGTTTAGTAGCTTAGGCGTGATTGCATAACACACAGACAAACAAAGTTCCCTTCGCATTTATAATATTAAGTAGTATAGATATAGATTAGTAGTAGTATAGATTATTTTATATTAATCTCGTGTATTCATATGTTACATTTAATAGAAGTTTTTTTTTTTATTACACGCTTACTGGTTGTAAAAGCAAAGTGCAAGGCTCAAATTTAAATAAAACACGATTTAATTGTCACATCCGATTGTTTTTTGTTGTTCATACTCGTGATTTTTATCACGAAATCGAACAAAGTTAATAAAATTCCTGTATTATCTATCAGTCTGATACATGTGCAAATTTTCAAGGTAAACTAATGCGTTTATACGCCTTTGACACATTTGCAAGTTTTCAAGGTAAACAAATGCATTTCTCGATCTTAAATAAACTTAGAATTTTATACAATGTATACATTATTGTTTTCTTGTCTTAGGTCTAAAATGAAGTAGCAGGATTAATATGAAATAATCTATACTAATCTATATCTATAGTAACATTATAAATGCGAAAGTAACTCTGTCTCAGACAGTGTTACGCATCATGCCTAAACTACGGAACCAATTTTAATGGAATATAGTAAAGAGGTAATCTAAAGCCTGAGGAAGGACATAGGCTAATTCTTAATGCGAAAAAAGGGCTGTAAGAGGTTGAAATAGGGGATAAAAGTTTGTATGAAATTTATGTAATTTTTAAAGCTAGAAGCCTGAAGCTTATATTATTTAGTATTTAGATTAGATATAGATATATACGACTTTCAAAGACTGTAAAACTTTTACCCTAAAGAGTAAAAATAGGGTATGAGAGTTTTTGTGTAATGACGTCGACAAAAACGGTTACAGTCCAGAAAATAAAAATATAAATGAAATATAGAGAATTACGGAGTCATTACAAAATGTGAAATTGAAATTAACGCAGGTAAGAAACTTGCCAAGCATCGCGAGCCATACACATTAGCCCTGCGGCGCCGTCGCGTTATGACGCGTGGCGCGACGCGGCACGTCGTGAGTAAGGGCCACGTCATTTCGGATCCTCCCGATCCACTAAAGGTGCTTTTAGGTACCTCAAGCACCGGTTATCCCGGAACCCGTCGCTTGCGACGAATGGCTCGACGAGTAAATTAACCCTCAGACATAGCCCACTGAGTTTCTCGCCGGATCTTCTCAGTGGGTCGCGTTTCCGATCCGGTGGTAGATTCTGCGAAGCACGGCTCTTGCTAGGGTTCGTGTTAGCAACGTCGTCAGGTTTGAGCCCCGTGAGCTCACCTAATAGTTAAGGTTACGTTGAAATAGCCTCTCAAGGCTCTTAACTTAGGTAGGATAAAAAAATAAAGGTGAAGGAATATGCCCAAGTGTGCCCACCCAAACGGACAGACACGTGAGGGCAGACGACTATGCGAGACCTATGCGTATATTACAATTTTTTTCACGTGCCCGTTGATTACAATCCAAATTGCTTATACGATTTCTTGTTTTACTTAATTAATGTACTGCGTGTAATGAAAAAAAAAGGGTTAATAAGTATTTTTCTAAATATAGAATCATACGTAAAATACCATTAATTTCGTTAATTTTGTACTTGTTTTAAGTGTGTTTTTTTAATCTTTGCGTTATTTATATTGAAATAATACTAATTCAATGTTATTTTAATATTTTTCTTTGCTCACGTTCATAAGTTAAATTGAATGTAATGAGTTACAGAGATTTTGTTATTTGGGTCAATAAAAGTATTTGAATACTAATTTATTTAGGTTTCTTCATAAAAAACTTAGGTTCTTATAAAATAGTTTAAATGTAAATTAAGTTATTTTCGTAATAGGAAGTTTTTTGTATGTTTATTTTGTATTTTGCTCACACATAAAACAAAGTATAAATACATAGTTATAGTTTTTTGTTATTTATTTTAATTAAATTCTTTTCAAATCAAGAGGTTAACTTTTTAATTTGTGAAATCGTTAGGTCGAAGATGTTTTGTTTAATTTCTTTGTTTTTATCCTAGTAAATATACCTTGAAATCGCAATTTAATCTAGCGCATAGTTCTGGCAGAGCTCGCGGTAAATAAGTTGTTTGCTGTAAAATACTGTAAATAGTGTTACACCAGTAACAGCAACGCCATCGTCGAGCATCGTCGAATAGCAACAACGAATATCAAAAGAACTAGTAAAATCGAGAACGGTCGAGAAGTACAACGCCATCTATTATCAAATAGCGGAAACACATATCGAAACTACTTGACCTGTCCGGAATGTTGTCGATAATGCTAGGGATGTCGTATCGACTATAAAAGCGTTGCACAGATGACACGAAGGCAGTTCACGTCCTTACGGATCCATCAGATCCAATAACCTTTGCATTAGATGCCTTCAGCTCTAATACTAGGGGCAGGCTTAGGGACCCCGGTAACCGTACTCGTCGAACTCGACAAAGAGGTCGACGTGCAACCTAACCCATGCATCAGCCCGCTGAGTTTCTCGCCGGATCTTCTCAGCGGGTCGCGATTCCGATCCGGTAGTAGATTCATTCGCGAAACAATTGCTCTTGAGTTGTTAGGTCTCCTTCGGAGGCGCTCGGGCAGTTGTTAGCAAATCCCACCCCTCTTGGCTGAGCCTTTGCTCGCCCACCTGTCCTGGTGAAACTGGAAAGGCCTTCGGGCCACCAGTAAACTTTCAATCATAAAAAAAAAAAAAAAAAAAAAAAAAAAAAACACGAAGGCAGTTAGTAATCGGGACTACTTGAAGCGAAACAGCGAACTGATCACCTGGAACGAAGCGGAAGAAGCGAATTACGAATTGCGAAGTGCTCTGCAAGTGTTCTAAGTGTTAAATAAAGTTTTGATTTGTACTTCGGTAGAATTTTCATTTATCCCGAACCTCAGAGCGTACCTATAACTTATTATATTGTATGTTTGTTTTAAAAATAATTTTTCTCCTACCTACGCCGAAAGTTCGGTTTTCGTTCGCGCTGTACAGAGAAGAAAGTCTAACTTTTTCTCCCTGGGTACAAGTGCGCATGCACGTTAGTGTCTACGCCTGCTCTCATGCACCTAAAATTCTCTGCCATTGTTGTGCTCGGGTAATTTGCAATATTGTGTTTAGTGTAAAAGTGAAATAAACAAAAGGCAATAATAGTGAAGTATTAAACAAAGATGAGTTCATCAGACAGTTCTTATTCAATTAGTAGTAGTTTATTTAAAAATTAAAAAACAGTTAAATTGTTTTTTTTATGAGTGGTACCCCCCGCCAGGGCTTCGTAGTATAGTATAGTATAGTATAGTATAGTATAGTATAGTATAGTATAGTATAGTATAGTATAGTATAGTATAGTATAGTATAGTATAGTATAGTATAGTATAGTATAGTATAGTATAGTATAGTATAGTATAGTATAGTATAGTATAGTATAGTATAGTATAGTATAGTATAGTATAGTATAGTATAGTATAGTATAGTATAGTATAGTATAGTATAGTATAGTATAGTATAGTATAGTATAGTATAGTATAGTATAGTATAGTATAGTATAGTATAGTATAGTATAGTATAGTATAGTATAGTATAGTATAGTATAGTATAGTATCGTATAGTATAGTATAGTATAGTATAGTATAGTATAGTATAGTATAGTATAGTATAGTATAGTATAGTATAGTATAGTATAGTATAGTATAGTATAGTATAGTATAGTATAGTATAGTATAGTATAGTATAGTATAGTATAGTATAGTATAGTATAGTATAGTATAGTATCTATATATTAATACGTGAAGCAAAAACTTTGTATCCCTTTTTACGAAAATTACGCGGACGGAGGGGTATGAAATTTTGCACACTTACAGAGAATATAGAGAAGAAGTGCACAATGCTAATATTTTTTTTAAATAATGCATAAAAGATACATTAAATCAATAAAGAAAACATTACACACACTACATACCATGTATTTGACGCACACACGCATGCATACCATTTATTGTCAAACTTTTGTTCTTGGCGTCTGTTGTCAAATTGAGAATAGATTAAATATTGTTTGCCTTTGTTAATATTTTTTTATAGTGTAGTCTTGGCGAAATTTGTGATTATAGATGTATACAATACAATCATAATAGTGTACAAACTTACAATTCCAATGAATTATAGTCGAATTTCGACTACTGCGGGACCTCTAGTAGTTACAAATACACCGAAAGACGAATTCGCAAAAAATTTTTGCTAGTTTCCTCGGAATATTCATACCATTTATTATCTACAATTATTATATCTACCATTTATACTGACGCCCGAAAATACAAACGAATAAGCAATTAAGCCTACAATTATCTGGGTAAAATTATTTATAAAATCAATTAAATTATTATGAAGCATACACAAGTTACATTGTTTTTTATAACGTAGTTAGTTAACTAAATCTTTTTTTTCATTTTATAACAACCAAGGAAATCTGGTCTGCGGCAAACGTCGCGAATGCAGCATTGAGCCAAAACGGTACATCTAAAACACACGCGTTTCAAAACATCGTATAATTAAATACATATACGCTAAAAACAAAATTACAATTAAATTGTATTAAATTATGTGAATTTATATTAAAATAAAAATTTAATAAAAATGGTGAAAGTAGTTAATTTATTTTATTTTACATTATTTCTTTGTGTGCTGTCCAGTGAAGAATCTCCTAAGGATCAAGGATCACCTAGAGCATATTTGAGTGATTGTGAGTATAATAAACACGAATTAATGTATTCCAATTTGTTATATTATATAATAAATATTATATTCATAAAATATTCAATACAATATAGAATTTATAGTAAGTTTTTAAATTAATTCGAAGTTTTTGAACTAATTTTCTTTACAAAATATTTAAAAAAAAAGATCCAATCAGGCAGAGGTTACGAATTTTTCTAATGAATTACGAACTTAACAAATCTCCTCGAATTTACTTCCACTTAAGTGATTACTTGTGATAGGGCATCTTTTGAACTCGCACCAACCACCACCACCACCAATTTCTCTAAAGATTTGAGCAGCGTTACCTTTGCTGAGCTTCAAATACTAACGCTTTAATTCCCACAGGTCCGGGTATAACGAAAGAAGCTATAATCACGCCGAAGTCATTAAAACATCTCGGCATTACGGTTTTTCGATCGAAAAACTCATTCTTGTCGAGGAAAAGATACGGCTACAAGCAAATGAAAGAGTTGGCAAGGGATCCTAATGTTAATTTTATGAAGAAAACGCTACTGTACTTCCCAGGTTATCTTGACAGTCCATCATTTATATTCTCACCAGTAATAGCGTCGGCTTATACTAAACGCGGTTACAATGTATTATCAGTGGACATACATTGGTTCGTGACCACTGAATATCCAATGTGAGTATTGTTTGCGTGAATTTTCTCTTCTGTTGTGTAAATTATCACGTCTTTCTGCCACAATTGACTGATTTGGTGGTGCAGTAATTAGCGCACCTAACTGTTGTACTAAGGGTCGTGGGTTCGATTCCCACATCGGGCAACCGTTGTGTAATGAAAAGTTTCGTTTTCTCTTTGTCTGCGGGGTCTACGGACCGTCAAGGCGGTTTACCCAGTCTTTGATGACTGGGTGAATCGTGGCCGAGAACGCCTCACCTTCAGTCTGGTGCAGGTGCTGACTGGGCACGGATGCTTCGGGAAGTACCTGCACCGGATAGGAGCTGAGCCGACGACGAGGTGCCACCATTGTGAACACGACCTGAACACGGCGGAGCATACGCTCGCTGTCTGCCCCGCTTGGGTGGCGCAGCGCCGTGTCCTTGTCGCAAAGATAGGACCGGATTTGTCGCTGCCTGGCGTCGTGGCGTCGATGCTTGGCGGCGACGAGTTTTGGAAGGCTATGCTCGACTTCTGCGAGTGCACCATCTCGCAGAAAGAGGCGGCGGGGCGAGTGAGGCAAAGCTCTCCTCACTACGCAGAAATCCGCCGCCGCCGAGCAGGGGGTCGGGACCGGGGTGCCGTCCGTAACCCGGCCCCCTAAGAGCTTTGGACTCCACCCGCTCTGTTCTGGGAGAAACCGAGGCGTGGGGCGGCGTGGTAGGCCGCGTTCCCCCGACCGCTCTGGGGGAAGGTGTAGCGTGGCATTATCAATGCGGGCTCTTGGCCCATCGACCGAGGGAACCGGCGGTCGTGTCGCTGGCGGCCGCCGGTCCGGTGTCTGGGGGACGGGGGGATGGATGTAATATGCTCTGCGTAAACCCTGTCCCGCCGTCTCAATAGCTCCGACTGGGTTCCCGCCCGGTCCGGGGTAGGGCGCCGACTGTGAGCGGCAGGAGTTTTTAGTGAGGTTCGACTCCAACATACCCCACCTGCCGTGCGGGTGGAGATCCGGCGATTATCTCCTGTGGAAAAAAAATGCTTGTCATAGTTAGTATGGAGATAATGAGGTTCGAATTTACCTTTACAATACTTCGTAGGCAAAAAATACGCGCTAAAATGATGTTTAAAAAGGCTATTATCTATGGATGAGACTAGGGATGAGCCGATTTTGAATCAAAACTTATTATGTTTTAAATAAATTGCAATACATAAGCACGAATATTAATGGTGGGTTAGGCCACTTTTGCGCTGACTGCCTCATATATAAGTATATATATATAACAATTTGTTTGTTTTTATATTAATCGATTTACGGTTTGTTGACAGCGCATCTCGCCTTAGTCGTGCCCTGGGGCCGCATATAGCTTCAATGGTGGTTGAACTCATGAAGGAAGGACTCGACATAAACAAATTGGATCTCGTCGGGATCAGCTTAGGAGCTCAAGTCATGAGCTTCGCCGCGAAAAGCTTCACAAACATGACGGGAACCAAATTTAAAAGAGCCACGGGCCTTGATCCTACAGGGGTCTGCTTTAGGAACCTCGGCCCTGAGGACAGACTGGACTCGTCGGACGTAGAGTTCCTAGACGTGGTGTACACTAATATAGATGGTTACGGTATGGCTGCGCCCATTGGACACATCAATTTCTATGTCAACGGCGGAGAGTACCAACAAAGCATACTAATACCCATATTGTGCACATTTTTATGCAGTCACATCAGATCCTTTCTGTTATGGGTGACAGCGATTTATCATCCAAAATCGTTTATAGGAATTCAGTGCGATTCGGTATACGATGCCAGAATAGGGAATTGCTTTGACGGTGGTCCGAGAGAGACGAACGTACTAGGATTGAAAGTTGATAAAACTAAGCAAGGTATATTTTATTTGGCCACAAAGAACACGTTCCCGTATTATTTAGAGGAAAAGGGTTTGGTGAAAGGAAGCGACTCGTTGTCGCAGTATTTCTTAGATGTCAACAAGGAAGATGTGTTAAGGTTTAAATAAATTATTTTGGGCAAAGTCTTTTATTATTATTATACCTTTAACCTTGAGTTACATACCGAAAATAGGTGTAAAATGGAAAAAACAACAGGTTTAAGTATTTCCTGCCTGTGAATTTTTTATTATTAATGTTTTCCATAATGTTGTTTACATTGAAATTGAGATAAATAAAACCTACAAATAAGGCAGGAAAATTCCTTTAAGTTTTTTTTTTTTTTGTTCTTTGCAAAGGCTACAAGTACCTGTAAGAACTACGGGGACATAAACTGGTTATTTGCTGACACTCGGAAACCAGTTTTAAAGGATTAACTATCATACTTAGTCGCTACGAAACTAAAATAGTGCATCTTAGTCGTCGTAGCCTAAAGGACGTCCGGTGCATTCGTGTTGAGCGATGCACCAGTGTTTGAATCTCAGGCGAATATCAATTTTTCTAATGAAATATGTACTCAACAAATATTCACGATTGACTTCTGCGGTAAAGGAATAACATCGTGGAATAAAAATCAAACACGCAAAATTATAATTTGCGTAATTACTGGTGGTAGGACCTCTTATGAGTCCGCGCGGATAGGTACCACCGCCCTGCCTATTTCTGCCGTGAAGCAGTAGTGCGTTTCGGTTTGAAGGGTGGGGAAGCCGTTGTAACTATACTGAGACCTTGGAACTTATATCTCAAGGTGGGTGGCGCATTTACGTTGTAGATGTCTATGGGCTCCGGTAACCACTTAACACCAGGTGGACTGTGAGCTCGTCCAACCATCTAAGCAATAAAAAAAAAATATTTTAAGCCATTGCATAGATTTTATCGCGGGCCTTGAGCGCGGCTTGAGGGCAGAATCATGAAATTCCGTAACGAAAAAAACCTTCCACCCCTCACTACGCCTACTATGTAGCTCGCGTTCAACACATTCACACGTTGCGCTTGTGTAGTGTTTAAAGAGAAAATTAGATCACATTACAATGCGTTGGGCGTGCCATTTTCTATCGCTTAGTCGAAGAATTTTATTACTACTCCTATTACTCATTCAGTGATTGGAGTGGCATTAAAAATAAACTAGCTAAACCGTTGATTCTGGGTGAATGAGAGTTAGAACTAGCATCCAAAGGCGTGTCTCTATCCCATGTAGCGCCCTCTAGTGAGTGTGCGGTCAAAATGGAATACTCACAATGTAGCAGATTCATTGAAAGTTAACCCACTGAGTTTCTCGCCGGATCTTAATTTATTGTTGTTTTAATATTCAATTATTATTGTCGATTTATAATTGCATAAGTTGATAAAAAATGCTATGCTTTACCGCGGCAGTCTCCAAGTGCCACACGTGTTTTTTTTTGTTATGTTTTTATTGCCCATGTAGGCAGACGAGTATACAGTCCACCTGACGGTTAGTGGTTCCGTCGTTCATGGACCTCAGCAATGCCAGGGGCAGAGCCAAACCCCTACCTACCGTTAAGTACAAGCCTCGTTTGAATAAGGACACGTCATAACGCTCGGGAATTGCCGTGGAGGGGAGCTCATTCCAAAGCCGAATGATACGTGGCAAAAATGATCTCTGGAAACACACTGTGGATGAACGCAGTGGCTCTAGGTAGTATGGATGAACTCTACTCCGGTGGCGGGCGGTGTGACGGTGTATCTTAATCGAAGATTGAAACATCAAGGTCACCATTATAATAGCAACACTCCAGAAGGTTTTGTATGTTTTTCGAACTTCATATTAACGACATGATCACTTAATATTATACGGTGGTATATGGATGCTAGGGCGATGAATAAGAAGTGTAGCGGGGAAATGAGTATCCTAGAAATGCGGAAGGGAAACACAGCCAAAACTTGTATGTGAAGTGGAGAATTCATGAACGTGCTTTTACATAATATCTGACCCAGGGCGACGCAAAACCGCCGTCATCGCAAAGCCTTCCTGGAACTTCCTTCTGTGAACTTCCTGGAAATTGCGGGCAGATGGCACACTTAATAGAAAATGGTATGTTTGAATTATAAACATGAATTTTTTACTAATGGGTAGCTAATACGATGTAGAATAAATTTGAGTAATAAAATAAATAAAAGTAGGTAAAGGGGGCGTCTTTTTTTAGAAATTTTTGGATTGTTGTAAAAATTGATGAAAAAATAACAGATTTATGCTAAAAAAANCCTGGAAATTGCGGGCAGATGGCACACTTAATAGAAAATGGTATGTTTGAATTATAAACATGAATTTTTTACTAATGGGTAGCTAATACGATGTAGAATAAATTTGAGTAATAAAATAAATAAAAGTAGGTAAAGGGGGCGTCTTTTTTTAGAAATTTTTGGATTGTTGTAAAAATTGATGAAAAAATAACAGATTTATGCTAAAAAAAACCGTTTATTTTCAATTGAGGGGAGGTTTTCTCCCACTTTTTCATTTTATGAGGACGCCTAAATACTTCCAAACATTAAGGAATTTGTTTAACCACGATAGATCATTTAGTTCAAAAGTTACACCGTTTTGTTTACACGGGAGTCACTAGAGAACAAAAAAAAAACTTAAAAAATTTTAAAAATATATTTAGCATTTTTTAAATATTATTCCCTCGATAAAATCAAGCATAGGTTCCCTCATTTCGATATGTGCACATTATAAGGAATCACACTGTATTATAATACGTTAAATATGTATTTTAGAGATCGTTTTAAAATTAAGCTTCAGCATATTTTATAATGAGACCACAAGTACATTTTAGAAACATTGACAATGATAATAACAAAAAACAGGCCGCTACGTGACTAATCAGATTTTCATACTATCATTATTGGTAATTTCTTCCATATGAGACTGGAAATATTCGTATTCCTTCTTCAGTCCCTTTTCTCCTAAATAATACGGATAATTATTGTGCGTTGCTAAGTAAAATACACCAGTTTTACTCTTGTCCGTACCCAAACCGACAACGTTCGTGACCAAAGGTATTCTATCGTAGCAATTTTTATTTCTCGCCTCTTGCACAGAATCGCACTGTATTGCTATAAACGAGGTCGGATACTGCAGTGCCGCCAACCAAACAGTGTAAGACCTTAGATGACTGCAGAAGGCGTTGCACGGCATCCAAAGAATATCGCCAGGTTGGTACTCGCCTCCGTTAACGTAGAAATTTACGTGGCCAATCGGAGCCGCCATACCAAACTCGTCTATATTCGTATCGACGACGTCCACGAAGTCCGCATCAGACGAGTCCAGTCGCTGATCGGGGCCCAAATTCCTGAAGCACGGTCCTGCTGGATCTAACCCGGTGAGTCTCGATATGGTATCACCGGTTAGTTCCTTGAAGCGTTTCGCGATGAAGCTGGCTGTGTGCGCGCCCAAACTAAGGCCAATCAGGTCTAGTTTTTTTGGATCCAGACCGTGCTTTATTAGGTCGACTAGCATCTCTGCTGTGTGTCGGGCAGCGGTTCTTATGTAGCGGACAGCCCTGCAAGAAGAACAGACGCAAAATATTTAAAAGGCAAATTTATGAGTTTTTATTTTTTATTTTGTTGTATGAGCCTAATAAAACACAACAGATATTTAACTGTTCTTTTTTTCTTCCATTTTTAAAGGTTTCTTATTAGGCCAGTAAACAAGCTAATGGCCTAATTGTTGTTAAATCGTTATCGAAATTCATATACTAATATAATTTAGGGGTTTATAATAAACGGGTTATTTGTTACTACACTAAAATGGTTAAACAATAGTTAATACTAGCTACAATAATATTAAATACGAATTTAAAACAAAAAAGCCGCGGTATACGACTAGTAAGCAGTCTTGATCACTAGTACTTGATCATCATCATCATTTTCCTGTCCTTCTCCCAGTAAACTGGGGTTGGCGCAATATGCTTCCTCCTTCCATACTCCTCTATCATATACCATTTCTTCGCTCACTCCCCTCTTACACATATCGTCTTTCACGCAATCTATCCATTTCTTCTTAGGTCTACCTCCTCCTCTATATCCTTCCACATTCATAGTTAACACTCTCTTACCAACCTCATTTTCATTTCGTCTCATCACATGTCCACACCATCCCAAAGCGCGCTTCTCTGTCACAGATGCCACTTTCAGACTTCCTCTAACGTATTCATTCCGTATTCTATCCATTCTCGTTACTCCACACATCCATCGCAACATTCGCATCTCTGCTGCATGCAATCGCCTTTTATCCTTAGTACTTGATACGTGAAAATAATCGAAGTGAACTCACAAAGGATACTCCATGACCGTAAACTTATTTGTGTCCAACAGCAGAACATTATATCCTTGGCGTCGATACTGTGGGGCCAATAGACTTGCAACTGGATAACTCGGACTGTCCATATACCCTCCGACGTATACAGCTGTTCGCTTACTGAAATCCATGTTCGGGTCTTTGGCTAATTGCTTCATTTGATAATAAGTGTAGGTAGATCGTTTTGCCGTCAAAAAGTTTCCGTTCCCAACGACGGTCATCGTCAGGTATTTGAGGCTGTTCTTCGTGATCACTGCTTCCCTGTCGCCTCCAGGACCTGGGACGAAAAGGAAGCGATTAGTTTAGACTTGCATTTTTATTCGGAAGACGTCTAATTGGCAGGATAAATTTTATTTGCACGTTTTATTTTGGTTATATAATTATATGTGCATATTATTTTATATATATGTATATATGGGTGCAAACGCAACTATTGGCAATAATTAACATGATATATAGCTTAGTTTATTCTATGTTATTATTTATTTATTACTAGCAATATGAAACTGTTATTCTACCATAGTTAATATTTAATAGACACTGTTTTGATGTGAAAATGTTCAGAATATTATGTTAATGTTTATATTACTGTTTAAAAACATAAATTACTGTCAAAATAATCAAATATTAATAATAAATTATGCTATAATTAACATTAATACCTAATTTGATTAAGTATTGTAATTGTTTTGCAAATCATTTTGTTGGCGTTATCTATTATTTATTAGGCTGGATAATAATAATGTTAGCTTATATTAGTTTGAAGTCGTCGTGGCCTAACGGATAAGACGTCCGGTGCATTCGTATCGAGCGATGCACCGGTGTTCGAATCTCGGGCGGGTACCAATTTTTGTAATGAAATACGTACTAAACAAATGTTCACGATTGACTTCCAAGGTGAAGGAATAACATCGTGTAATAAAAATGAAACCCGCAAAATTATAATTTTCGTAACTACTGGGGTAGGACCTCTTTTGAGTCCGCGCGGGTGGGTACCACCACCCTGCCTATTTCTGCCGTGAAGCAGTAATGCGTTTCGGTTTGAAGGGTGGGGCAGTCGTTGTAACTATACTTGAGACCTTAGAACTTATATCTCAAGGTGGGTGGCGCCTTTACGTTGTGGATGTCTATGGGCTCCAGTAACCACTTAAGACTAGGTGGGCTGTGAGCTCGTCCACCAATCTAAGCAATAAAAAAAAAATTAAAAAAAACTTGAGACCTTAAAACTTATATCTCAAGGTGGGTGGTGCCTTTACGTTGTGGATGTCTATGGGCTCCAGTAACCACTTGACACTAGGTGGGCTGTGAGCTCGTCCACCAATCTAAGCAATAAAAAATAAATAAATAAAAAGTTAATAATAAATTAATGTCAGAGTCCTGTAAAAATCACTAAAATATTTATTGTGAATATTAAGCTACATTTTATGAATTGTTTCACAGTAATTCCATTTGTTTCTATAAAAGAATATGTAGTTACTATAACAAAAACAAAACGGTTAATTGCGTAAATACTAAGTCGTGTCTTTTTGTAAAAAACAATTAATGTTAATGTTTTTATAGAATTGTATTGCGTTTTCATTGTAACAGATCTTATGTGTGAAAACCTTGACGTAATGCCGACATATATCATTAACTTTACTTTTTTACGACTGCTTACTAACATATTGTGTCGATAGTAGATAAGTTACTGTAAAAGCCCGAACTACGGTAAATCCTAAGGTTTTCTAGGAAATCCTAAGATTTACCAACTCTTAATGGTAAAAGTCCGAACCGTTCTATGATCAACGTTTATTTCGGACTTTTACAACCATTCACTCAAAGACACGGCAAATGTTGAGATAAACATATTATCAATACGTGTTCGGCGTATGGCCTTAAAGGAAGAAAATTTTGTTAATAATGAGTCAGAACAAGACACAAACAGTATTAATTTGAGGAATAAAACACAAGTAAATGTATCTGAAATATAACAGGGCTCCGTATTTGTAACAAGTATTTTTTTATACTAACTATTAAAATTGACGATTGATTAATTATAATAAATTGTCGTTTTCCTTATCTTCAACTTCAAATAAATGATTGAAAAGTATGCATTGTTTTATTCCTAAAACGAACATCTACCAACCGTCATTAGTAAATCCTGGCATGTACTAAATTCTAATGGTAAAAGCCCGAAAAAATAATTTCTTTTTTACATATTCTTACATTTACTGACTCGTATTGGTAAATCCTAAGTTTTACTGGTAACACCTAAGATTTACGGGCTGTTACGGTAACAGATACACAGTAAAAGACCATGGCACATTCCAAAGAATTGCCGCATAAAATCCGTTCCGGAATGTATGACTGATTTGAGGCGGACACGTAAATAGTATATTTACGTGTCCGCCTGTATATTTGTTTAATGACAAATTCGTGAGGTAAGCATTATCGATACATAAATATCATTGTTGATTTTTTAATATAGATAACGATATGATTGCAGGGTACACTGTGAGGCCTTCAGCGATGTCGACCGATTATAATATAAATAAATAGAACTAGAGACTATAGGCTTATAAGCAGCTCGATGCCTGATGGACTGTGAGTTCGATACGTCAGCTACGACTAAATGATTCCTTATAGTTGTACTCATATATAAATTTTATTTGTGAAACCAGTAAATACCGGTTAAATAGATTGAGCTCTTGTGGGGATTAATGGAGTTCCGTGGATCTTACGTATTCGCGCCGCCCGCAAAGCAAGTCTATGGTTTCACTTGATATTGGTATATGGTAATTGGAAATCTTGAGGAATGCGTTAATATTTCATGCGAAAGATATTGAAAGATTAATTAAAAAAAAAAAATAAAAAAAAAAAAATTGAATTAAAAATAGTGTAAGAAAATATGATTTTATTGTAAAAAAAGCTTAATAAGTATACCAAATTTCGAGTTAATCCGACGTTTGGGAGGGGGTCAAAATCATGTTCAAAGATTCCGTTACAAGATGGATTATTTATTTTATTGAGATCGATAGTGCGACGTACATATTTTTAATTGATGATTTTTTGTGTTTCTTTTTTTTTAATACGACTCAAAAATATACACANAAAATTGAATTAAAAATAGTGTAAGAAAAAATTATTTTATTGTAAAAAAAGCTTAATAAGTATACCAAATTTCGAGTTAATCCGACGTTTGGGAGGGGGTCAAAATCATGTTCAAAGATTCCGTTACAAGATGGATTATTTATTTTATTGAGATCGATAGTGCGACGTACATATTTTTAATTGATGATTTTTTGTGTTTCTTTTTTTTTTAATACGACTCAAAAATATACACAGATAGTGGTAGATTCAAACGTCTATTATCGTACTGACGTCACGGAGGCCCAGGCTTGAGGAAATTACCTCTCAATAAATATTGTTAAAGGGTTACAGTAATTAAGATGATTATGGATTATTTTTTTAAATGAAAAAAATACAAATTACTCTCCAATGTGTTTAAGATTGAGTGCCTCTGGCCTAGAGCAAGGCCACGCCATCTCTTCCCATCGGTGTCGTATGAAGCAACTAAGTGTAATTCCGGTAATTTTCCGCGTGTCCCCTAATTTTTTTTATTTATTGCGTTTGTAGGAAGACGAACATGCGGCCCACCTAACGGTGAGTGGCTGCCGTCGCCCAATTCAGCAATGCCAGGGGCAGAGCCAAGACGCCGCCTACCGTTATACCAGGGGGCTGCGATACTATTCACAATACCGCCCTGCCTATTTCAGCCCCGAAACTGGCATTCCGTGGGGACTCTCGGCTAGGGCGTACCTGCAGGTGGGATAGCCGCTATATGAAGCAGTTGAGACTTCGATCTGATATTCATGACGGCGTTCACCGCTGTGAATTCACGGGTGATCACCCTAGTCCACAGAGGTGCAGGATGTATGTGAAATTGAAGTCTCTGAGGTGTCTTGAATCTCACTTTCGCCTGTTGAACAATGGCTTACTGGTGGTAGGACCTCTTGTGAGTCCGCACGGGTAACTACCACTACCCCGCCTATTTCTGCTGTGAAGTAGTAATGCGTTTCGGTTTGTAGGGTGGGGCAGCCGTCGTAACTATACTGAGACCTTAGAACTTATATCTCAAGATTGGTGGCGCATTTACGTTCGTAGATGTCTATGGGCTCCAGTAACTACTTAACACCAGGAGTGCTGTGAGCTCTTGCTTCCATATAAGCGATAAAAAATAAAAACATACATGAATTTTAAAAAAATGCTATGGAAAATTTATTATCGCTTTATCAAAGGATTTACAATATAATTGAGTCAAGCAATCAAACGATCAAACGAATGAATTATAGTACGTTGTATTGACAGATCGACAAAAAATTTATGGTAAAATGAACAAGGTTAAAGTTAGTATGAATATACATATAATTTTTTTTAAAGTCCGTCGGTTCTTAGCAAATTATTCAAATAACAACGAATAACAAATATCTTAGTTGTCCGTGACCACGAAAAATTTTTAAGTATTCTAAAAGTCGTCTTTATAAATTGAAAGTACTAACGCGAGATTAAATCGTTTTATGTCACCTCTGCGACTTATCCAGAACTACGATAATACTTTAGTTCCTTTTAATGCTTTTTCTGCTTGACTATAATTTCGGTTAATACAAAACTCACCACACACCGGGAGAAGTGGCGATTACTCGTGAGGCGCTTAACATCTGCTCACAGCAATCAATCAATCAATCACGATCACGACCGCTCTGACAAGACTTGACAAGAGTGATACGACAAAGGAGATAATTTCGGTAGCTTTTCCACATTTTCAATTATTTACAATACAAAAAAAAAAATTTAATTAAGTTAATTAATTATTATCGGGTTTTTTTATTATGAAGGAAGGATTACTGGTGGCCCGGAGGCCTTTCCAGTTTTATCAGGACAGGTTGGCGATCAGGGCTAATCCAGGGGGGGTGACTTTGCTGACAGCTACCCCAGCGCTTCCAAAAGCGACCTAACAACTCAAGAGCAGGTGTTTCGCCACTGAATCTACTACCAAATCGGAATCGCGACCCGCTAAGAAGATCCGGCGAGAAACTCAGCGGGTTGACGCATGTGTTAGGTTGCATGTCGAACTCTTTGCCAAGTTCAACGAGTACGTTTTTTTTTATTGCTTAGATGGGTGGACGAGCTCACAGCCCACCTGGTGTTAAGTGGTTACTGGAGCCCATAGGCATCTACAACGTAAATGCGCCACCCACCCCGAGACAAGTTCTAAGGTCTCAAGTATAGTTACAACGGCTCCCCCACCCTTTAAACCGAAACGCATAATTGCTTCACGATAGAAATAGACAGGGTGGTGGTACCCACCCGCGCGGACTCACAAGAGGTACTACCACCAGTAATTACGCAAATTATAATTTACCGGAGTTATAGTTACCGGACCGTTTACCGGAGTCGGATCGGATCGTAGTTAGAGCTGAAGGTGTCTAATGCAAGAGTTATTGAATCTGATGGATCCGTAAGGGCGTGTCTAGGGCGTCGACGGTGACTGGCTCCTGCGTGATCAGGATTCGGGGAGTAGTCAGCGGCGGCAACGATAAGACGATTATCATGACGCATATCCTTATCGAAGTACCTACCGTTCCGACACTGACTTCATTTGTTTACGGCCAAGCCCAGGTCGTCGTGTAAGTCAACGTTCCTCACGAACCACGGAGCTCCGACGGCTAACATGCAAAAACGTGATTGGATGGTTTGGAGGGTCTACATGTGTGCGGTCCGCGTGTGCGGACACCACACTCGCGTAGGTCTTGATGGGTCGTATACAAGTTTTGTAAAGTGTCCCCTTATTCCATTTTACAAATCATAGGATTAAGTCTGCCGAGAATAAACGCGGCGCGATCGCGGACAGATTTTATGTGCGGGTGGAATGTCATCGATGCATCCAAGATGACTCTCAGGTACTTGACCTTCCTGGCCCAGGGTATTGATTGGCCGAAGAGGATGATCGAGGGAGTGAGGTTTCTATGCCTAATGCGGGAAGAGATAAGGATTAAATTACACCTTTAAAAGACGACCGCTGTGCTTTTTGCTGGGTTGATGTCTATGCGGCATTTTCGGAACCACTGTCCGAGAGTTACGGCTGCGCTCTGAAGTTTCCTCGCGATTAGGGACTGGTTTCTTCTCGAGTAGTAAGCGTTCGTGTCTTCGGCGAATAAGGCTAAATGGGTCGATGGCGACCTGAGATTATCAGTGATGAGAAGGTAATACAGGTAGGGAGCTAAGCAAGAAAGAGAAAAAGACGTGAAGATAGAGTTAAGTGCTATAAGAGGACGTGAATTGCGACGCTCGGATTTTTAAAAGTACTTAACTTTAAACGTCTTACTTAAAAGGATTGTGACGGAAGGCTCTCATAGTTATTAAAAATAAATAGAATGCAATTAAAAAAAATGACGACTCAGTTTGCTTACAAGGTATAAATTTAATGGTTCATTAACGTTCCTTGAAAAGTGAATATGTCATAAGGAAAATGAATTAAAAAAAAACAACGCAATGGGACAGAAGTAAAAATGAAGCGAGTCGAATAAACAACAGATACGTAAGGCCCATTTAACTATTTAAAACTGTATTAATGATTAAGAAGTTTTTCGCCGAATATTCTTAGTGGGTCGCGATTTCGATCAGGCGGTAGATTCTGCGAAGCACTGCTCTTGCTAGGGCTAGGGTTAGCAAGTTCTCTTAAGTCAAGCCCGTGAGCTCACCTACCCAACAGCTGGAATATCCTTTTAGACAACAAACGAATAGATAAGGATTTTTATTTATTAAGAAATTGTTTTCTAAATGTTGTGCGGTCTGTATCCCTCAGGAATCTTATACCTTTAAACGAGCAATTCTTGTATATATATAATCCGGAAACGGCTCCAACGATTTTCATAATATTTAGTACGCAGGAGATTTCGGAGGCGATAAATCGATCTAGCTACGATTTATTTTCAGTAAATATCGTTTTATTCGTGTTTTCAATAATCAACTCTTCCCGACATCTATTGGCGAATAATAATATTTTTCTTAATTGAGGGCAACTAACCGCTTTAAAGACACAACAAGATGGCGTTATAAAAAGAACTGGTCATCATATAGTAGTAATTTAAATATAATAGTCTAAGACCTACTTACAGTCACTCAAATAGCCGGCAGGATATCCTTCTAATGACTTCGAACTGTAAAACGGCGTAACAGACTGTACCACCACCGAAAAGTACATAATCAAGCAAAATCCCCTTGCCATGTTCGAATTCACTGACAGCTGTCAAACACTTTGATAGCTGTGCCGAGAAAAAAAAGGGATATTTTTTCACTCCTCAATATTAATAATATAACGTTACGTCTTGAATGTAACGATGTTAAAGCTTAATTGCGAATGTGCAATGCGAACGCTCATGACAAACAAAAGATTAGGTGTAATCAACTAACTTGTTCACCGCACTTTGTTGTAGTCCTTTTTTATCCTTTTGGAACGCAAAACCTTAATGCGCGATCTTCCCCCAACGCGACTTCCTTTGAGACGCATTGTTTTGGATTGGTCGCTACATACCCGATCCTGTTGACTGAATGGTAAATAATCGACGTCGCCCAAAGTACGTCATTACAGATCCTCCCGATCCATTAACGGTGCTTTTAGGTACCACAAGCACCCTTCACCGTCCTCGTCGAAACCGTCGCTCGCGACGAAGGGCTCGACGAGCGAATTAACCCACAGACACAGCCCACTGAGTTTCTCGCCGAATCTTCTCAGTGGGTCGCTTTTCCGATCCGGTGGTAGATTCTGCGAAGCACTGCTTTTACTAGGGCCAATGTTAGCAACACTCCGGTTTGAGCCCCGTGAGCTTATCTACACGTTAGGGCGAAGCTAATATAGCCTGTCAAGGTTATCAGCATAGGTAGGAAAAAAAGATGTGTGGTGTCGTGGGACACCGGATAGGAACGAAGTTCCATACATAAAAAAAAAAAGAATTACGAGAAAAAATCGCGCGGTGAAATATCGCTATGCGGAAAACAAGGCCTTATTCCACGGACTTTTTCTTACCGTTTTTACTATCACATTTTTTTCAGTGCGGTCGCGCCGCAAAATCCCTATCTCCTCCAAGCCTGCCGTAAGGAACTTCGTTCCAAAAATAGATTACTCGGTGGTAATTAGCGGCTTGGTTCTACCCTTGGCATTGCTATAATCCATGGGCGACAGTAACCACTTACTATTAGATAGGCCGTATGCTCGTCTGCCTAGTGCCAGTGTTTAGCTAATAGCAGTTAAATTAGTCCAACAGGATTTGAAGTGCTTAAACAATTAATGCAAGGCAAAATGAACTCAAAATCAGATCATTTGTTATTTTCTTTTATTGCTATCATTAATAACTACCAGAAACATAATAAGGCACTGCCAAGTTAAACTCTTTTAAAACATATAATAATTGAAATAAGTACATGTGGAAGAAAACGGGAGGGTGATTTCAATGCAAGGCTTAATGAAAAAAAAACTGAAAATGATCTTAGAACTGTAGAAGCTTACGTGCTTTTTTTATTGTATGGTTAATGGAGTCCTAAGATGAAAAGTCCTTCCTAAAGTTCACCCATAAACCCAGACGCTCCAAACGATTCGTGAGAACGGTACTATAGATAATTCGAACGACCATCCTCTGTATGGAATCAATTAACTGGTATTTGGGAGCCTCGGCCCAGAGATGGGAGCAGTACTCCGTTCAAAGCCAAACTGTGTTTTATAAAGCAAAGGTCTTCATCCAGGTGTAAAATACGCTGGAATCATGGTCCAGACGGCTGGCTGATCCTTCGGCTGGTCGTAGGACCGTCGAGGCGATTCGCCCGATCCTTGTAGATTGGGTGAATCGTGACAGAGGACGCCTCACTTTCCAGCTCACGCAGGTGCTCACTGGGCATGGTTGCTTCGGTGAGTTCCTGCACCGGATCGGAGCCGAGCCGACGGCAGAGTGCCACCATTGTGGTTGCGACTTGGACACGGCGGAGCACACGCTCGTTGCCTGCCCCGCATGGGAGGGGTGGCGCCGTGTCCTTGTCGCAAAAATAGGAAACGACTTGTCGTTGCCGAGTGTTGTGGCATCGATGCTTGGCGACGACGAGTCGTGGAAGGCGATGCTCAACTTCTGCGAGTGCACCATCTCGCAGAAGGAGGCCGCGGGGCGCGTGAGAGACGCACAATCCCGCCGCCATCGAGCGGGGGCCAGGGAGGCGGATCTCGCCCAAGCCCTGGACCTCTAAGTGTTTCGGGTCCCCCTTACATGTCGGTCTGGGGACCGGCGATGGGGGTCTAAGAAGACGACGTGCAAGCTGCTCTGCACGCGTTTTACGCAAGAGCATCCGGGTGATGGAAGGCCGGCTATCCTCGACCCACGCTGGTTCTGGTCCAGCGGGGTATTCCGTAGGATAGCTCACTCTAACCGGCGCCATCTAGGCGGGCTTCAGATAGCCTGCCGACCGAGAGGGCTGGTGGTCGTGGCGCCAACGACCGCCAGTCCGGCGTCCCAAGGGGGAGGGTGATGGGAGAGATGTGCTCCGCACTAAACGCTTCACTTTCCCCCCTTTGCCTCACGCCCCATTTGCTTCATGAGTTCTGTCTCATGCGAGGTTTGGACGTTTCCTCCTGAGAAAAAAAAAAAAAAAGGTGTAAAGTACCGCTTTGCTCTATTGAGGACTCCCAGCATTTTTTTTAGTCGGTAACTTGACTTTACCCTCCGAATGACTCTGATACTGAACATCGATCGAAAAGTCGACCCCGAGAACGCGAAAACCCTTAGAAGGCTCCAGGGATACTCATTGGAATTGCAACGTCACGACAAAAGTTTGATCTTCGCTGGAAACCTGTATCTCCAAAGAGTCATATTTATAATTAGCTTTGTTATGGCTTTTTTTAAACAGTAACAAAAAACACATACATTAACACAAACCAACGAAATAGGATATTTGAGGCTTGTTTTTATCTCGTCCTTTACCTTCTTCGAAGAACTTAGCGGTTTCGTGTGTGTTTTACAACAAATTGTTTGTCCACCTTGACATACAAGGTATTGGTCACAGTACAAAGTAGCTTCTGAGTTCCTATCAGTGCGTTTATCTTTGTACTTGAATTTAAAAGGTAAAATCAACACGAAATTTTTACCTGTGGGGCTTTTGTCCACGCGAATAGGTATTACCATAAATCACTCACGTGTTCAGGTTTGGGGAGTGGAACAAGTGACACGATCTAATTAAGACATTGCTATCTCTAAGATGACTGGCGGTAGTGATGTTGATGTCTATGGAATTTGATAACCACTTAACAGCAGACGGGCCGTGAGCTCTGTCACCCGTTTACCCAACGAAAAAGGAGAAATATTTTTAATTTTAATAAAATATAAATATAAAAGTATTCAAAATCTTCAACATCAATCCAAATATCGCATCGATATATGGAAATCAATCCCTATTTATAGTAGTCACTACGAATACCCTGAAAAAAGTTTTGAAAAATGAATAAGAAATTTGGAAAGCAACAATTGGTACTATAATTGTTCAATAATAATAAAATAATCGGCTCTCTTCACAAACATGGGTGAAAAAGTAGATTAAGCAATCACCTCGCGAGTCTAAATTTATTTAAAAGGTAAACTTCATTTTAAAGTGCGGCTATTCGGTTATTGTATTAAAAAAAAAAAACTAATTAGTTACAAGTGTCATGACTCACTAGCGAACGTTTGCGACTGAAAGATCGTTCATTTGATGCGAAGACAAAGAAACGCGGTAAAAAAGTACAGAGGGTAGAAAGTTTATTTGTAGATTACAAACTGGTGAATGACCTGGTGTTCTCCAAGTCCTCGTCCTCATGGTGCTTTCGAACTTCGAACAGGAGACGCTCCGCAATATTAGAAAATTCCTTACTGCGTCAGCATTCGCGATTAATTTAGATATTATTATTAAATTTTTCAACATACCTCGGCCTATTATTGTATTAAAAAAACACAATAATAACCATTAACTAAATGTGCTTGGTAGACAATGCTCGACTTCTGCGGAGGCGGCAGAAGGAGAGATAGAGACCTGATCCCACTTCGCCCAGTTACGGCGTCTAAGATCTTCGGCCCATGGCAAAAAAATAATAGCTAAAGAGGTTAACACTCACATTCTGAATTCGTAAATTCTAGAATTCCGTTCCCGCCATCGGTCAGATTCTTCTGGAAGAAAATTAATAGAACGAAAATAAACCAGCCGGGTTGCGACATCGCGAAACTTTTGTGTGTCGCAAGAAAAATTGTTCGAGCAATTCTTCCGCGCGGTGAATATTCGTTGATAAGAAAAATATTTGCGTCGGTAACTATAGGGTTGGAGCTGTTTGAAGGCACGATTTTTCAACGGACCTCTTCATAATATTTTCTAATTTCGTATTTAAAAAAAAATTGTTCAAAAAATGATTCGCCAACAACCACTGACGTCACAAGTTTACATTCATTCTAACACAAATGTTTAGGAATGTATCACTAAATCTTTTTATAAAACAAATTGTTAACTTTATGATTTAAAACTATTTCCAAAAAATTAATTGAATATGTTAGAGACACAATTCTTTTTTTTCTAGCTTAGATGGGTGGACGAGGTCGCAGCCCACCTGGTGTTAAGTGATTACTGGAGCCCATAGACATCTACAACGTAAATGCGCCACCCACCTTGAGATATAAGTTCTAAGGTCTAAGTATAGTTACAACGGCTGCCCGACCCTTCAAGCCGAAACGCATTACTGCTTCACGGCAGAAATAGGCGGGGTGGTGGTACCTACCCGTGCGGACTCACAAGAGGTCCTACCACCAGTAAATTTTGTCAAATATATGGTCTCAAAAACTCTATACCTATATTTTAATTAATATATATTTTGCTTTTTCTTCTGAATTCATAATGCAGAAGTTCATATAATTTTGTAGTTTGGTTGTCTTAGCATTGAAATAAATTGAACAAAAACCTGAACCAACGACACTTAGAAGGCTGACTGGCATACAAGTTCCGAACAACAACAGCAAGCAAGCAATAGCACAATAGGAGGAAGATCTTCTTTCCGTAACTATCATTCGTATTATTATTATTGCACTGAAATAAATGAAACGCCTGATGGAAGAATAATAGCAATAATCCTAAGTGAATGGTTTTCATTCTTGCATTTCTAATCCTAAATAAATTCCCATCATTCGTTTTTATAACTATTATGAAGTAACAGAAATAAAATTTTCTGATAATGCATTATGTGGCCATGTCGCTCCGTTCCTCCGTTTGTTACGTTCTAATAGATATACTAGTGGAGATATAATCTGAGGATGGTCGACGTCAGGCACAGTTGGATGACTAGTGCCAA